GGGGGGGGGGGTTTAAAACTCTCTAAGTAAGGCAATACCGTACCCAAAACTTCTGATTAATAATGAAAAAAATATTTATCACTCCACCATAATCATTACCGTTGTTTACTATAATTTCATACCAAAATCAAAACACATCTATACATTTGAAATTCAATGTTTATTTGGATTTTCAAACGTAATGACATCTATGTAGGCAATGTATGAACTTAAAAGGGATCCTCGAATCTAAAAAATAAAGAAATAACACACAAACTCAAATAAACGTCTAAAATGTGCGCCGCATTTTGCTGTATATTACACATAAAAAGATAAAATAAACTTTTCAGCAAATTTTGCTTTAATTTCCAATATCTAAAACCTACTAAGAAAATCTTAATCAACAAATTATTCATCTCTACGTATACTTTTATCAACCAAATCAATTCTCTTTCGTCTTCTTTATCGGTCGAATATCAGTGTTCGTATTGAGATTCGACTAATTGAACTCGAAGAAATACTAATTAATAATTTGATACATTTTCTTTTCAACATTTGAAGACTTCAACACAATTCACATTCTAGAATGAAATACATAGTTGCAACTGAAATTTCTTAGGTCTTTCTCATAATATATAAATGTTTATTTGAATCCGGAAGGTACTTTTTAGCACTTTAAAATTCACTTAGAGGATTTTATTGTTCAAATTCCAAGCGTGTTTATTTTTTAAATCTCCTTAGTGAAGATTCTGATTCTGTTAATACATATAATATCTGTAAATTTTCAACTATTTCTCAAGGAGCGATTATTGTTTCTCATTAAATGAGTTTTATACGTCGCAAATCTTGATTAAGTCGTGAATTTCGAATCTGGTATCGTTTGAAAATGGGAACCTACATGTCCTATAGGATGTGAGAAAAAAGTTAATAGTCAAAGATATCAACATAAATTAAATTCCATAATGGGTTCTATGTACGTATAATTTGTAGTTAGTTTTGGTGAATAATATATCACCATCATTATATATTAGTCAAATAATTATTTGTACGACATTTCTCCTCTCTTTTTATCCAAAACATAACTCAATTAATACTCTAAATATATACTTCCTTTTTAAAGAAACTTAAAAGAATTTATTTTCCAATTATATTTTCTTGCACATTTAATTTGGTGGGGTTACTTGCATGGAATTTCTACGTAACTTCAATTTTAAATGGGTTTGGAAATTGGATCACATGTTGTATTTTTATTTCTTTTTTCTTTTTTAAATTTTTAGCATTAAAGACGCTTTCACAATTCACACTAGTAGTGGTAGGTAGCATTAGTACTCAAAATCACATGATCGAACTTTCTTTTTGGACTTTTTGTCATACACAAGTAATCGCGAATCTAGAAAGACGTAAATAGTAATGAATTCAGAAATTAAAGCTAATAAAAATATTATTTAAGACGGATATGGATTAATTAGTTGAAGTCTTGACAACACTTTCTTAGAACAAGTTATTAAACAAATATAAAATCGAAGATGTATGAGTAAATATAAATCAAATTAAAATATAACATAATTCACTCTATGATAATTAGATCGTCTCAGCCTAAGCACACTAATCAGTATTGGATCAATGCACCAACTCAACTAATCATGTATTTTAGGATGCACATTTAATTATACGATCCTTCTTAAGTATATGCATGTATATATATATATTTCGAAGTTAACATATGCACGTATACTCACTTCATCAAATGTACGAATGTCCGTCTCTAGGTGTGAATATGTTTATCCGAACCCTCTTAACAAAAAGTTATCATGAATATATAAGGTATATATTCTCTTTTTCACTTGAAATTTCAAACTTAAATCCTAAGCACTGTATTGTTATTATTTTCAATTCTTTTAATGAAAATTTTGAATTTACCGTCACGTATAATATTGGTAACTCTCTCCGCGCTCTCTTTCTCAAGGAGCAATAATACACTACACAGCTAAGAAATTAGTAGAACTTTTCTCAGAACATATGTAACACGAACCAATTATTTTAGTCAAATAATCTCACTTATTTAACAATTCATATATTATGTATTTAATGTCTCTTCTACATGTTGGACGTCCAAACATGACTTATTTCTTTATTTTTCTGGCAAACATTAAATAATCACCTAAACCAACGACTTTATTCTTAAATCTTATAAGGTACACACTACTAGAGACATAAAAAATATATATAAAAAAAGAATAAAATAAATTTCCACTTTTAAGGAAAATTTTTATTAATGAGAAAAAGAATGTTGTGTTCCTATGCATTTTTTATATCATCCACAAACTTAGCCAACTTGATAAAATTATTTGCTACCAAACATCTCTGTGCTTCCAAAATCCTATCTTGGTAGAACATTTCGTCATTTGTAAAAATTAAAAATTTTGATGAGAAGATCTGGATATATCACAAGTGAACATGTTGATATAAGTATCGAAAAATCAAAATGTAAATTACTGCGAGCAATTAAATTAATATATATATATATATTCACACTATTGTTGTTTTATTATTTTAATATGTTGTAGCGGATAACATATATTATTTTTATGCTACTATTTTTATTTTTTTATATGAATGTATACTATTTTTATAATTATCGTTTCAATTATCTAATCCTTTAAAAAGTATCTTTATTTTCATTAAAGGATTCAAAAATGTGCAATATGTGTGGTGTATATACCAAGAAAATGATAACGAGAATTAGCTAAATAGGAAAAAAAATAATATTTTCTTTGTATCGAACATATTTAAAGTTAAGGTAGAAGCTAAATGCTAATAAGAGTCGAGAATTTGTTTAAATATTTTTCAATAAAAACTTACAATGTCTATTCATAAATATATTATATATAATATATATATTGAACTTCTTTTTTCCTCTTCAATTCATATGTTTTACTTTTTATAATTGAAAATTTTCAATAAATTTTTTAATTCCGCCTCTAAGTAACCTAATTTATTGAGGTAGATGATTGTACACTAACAAGTGAGCTTTATCTTTTTTTTTTTAAAAAAATAATAATTCCAAAAGTAGCTTTCGTTAAATTCCAAGTTCACCTTTTTAAAATTTCTTCATGCAACATTGAATTTGGCAAAGAATTTATAATTGTGTTTAACACGGCATATAAACATATAATAATAAATTAATTATAAAATAAGATGAGGACCAATTAATTGTATAGTACATGGGGTCCAAAAGTAGGCACCGTCTTTTATTGACACGACAATTTATTCATTAAAAAAAGAATATTACTACAACACAAAACTTCCTTTATTTAGTTCACACCTTTCAACCAATTAATTTGCACTTTATCTTATATAAATCATTAACATTACTAAAATTACCTCAATTCTTTTAAATATCATGATACCTTTGATACCACTCATGACGGAGCTAGGTGAAGGTTTGTTGATTCGGACAAATTTAATAATTTTTCATAAATTTTATATTTATGTTAGAAAGTTAAGTAATAATTTATAAATTCTTAATAAAACTGATTAAAAATGTAATCGTAAGAAAGAATAAGAAAATTTAGAATTCCAAACTTTTAATACTGGTTCAGCCTCAAAATTATAACTAGCTACTTTATTTCAAAATAAGTACATTATTTTAATGAAAATATAAAAGTAGTCCCAAGAATAATTAATGTTATATTTTTATTTCAAAGAACTATGTTTTAATAATATTTTCTTTTTCAATATTCTTGCTTTATTTTGTCATTATATACATCAATAAGAACACCAAATGTAAGAGTACATCTATTCTAGGTTTCCGGTTGACATACCATCATTGTTTTTCATTATATACTATTAAATTATACAAGTTCCTCAAATGAACTTCTTTTGGGTGCCGTAGATCGATTTAAGAAAAAAAAATATAGAAATAAAGTAAAAAAATAACTTGTAGATTTTAAGTATGACATAATGTTTGACTTGGATAAATAAATGTCCAAAACATTAAATCCATATTATATCTATCTTTTAATTAAGATTAAGATTTAATAATTCGTCTATGTTCATACTGAATAGGCTTTTTTTCCCTTTGAGATACAATTGAAAATTTCTTAAGTCTTAAGTTTGCATTATATTGTGACTAAGAGAATTATTAAGATGCATTTTCCCATATCTATATTTGGGACCAAGAAAATTAATGTAATGCCTTAATATTCAATGTATCTTAATTCCGTGTTACGTATACAAAACAAATTTAAAAGTAAATATGGTGGAAAAGGTTATATTATAATTTATACATATGGACTATGGGTACGTATACATTAAATATCAAAAAAAGTCTTTAATTATTAAATGACCATATGTAGAAGTCTTTTGGTAAAGGAAAATTCTTTCCCTAATACTTCCTCCGTTTCAATATATTCAGCATAGTTCCAAGTAAGATGGTTAAATCAATTAATATTTGGTATGGTGTGAATTTAGCTACATAATCTTTAATTTTTTTTTAAAAAAATAAGACTTTCATAAAAATTACTCTAAATCATCATACAATTAACAATTTAAAATGTTTAAAAATATTATTTGATGGTCAATATTATAGCTAAGACAAATAAAATTGAAACGAAGAAAGTACATTATTTCAGCTTGTATTGTTTTTTTCTTAAAAAAAAAGAAGAGGGAAATACCTTGTCCTTTCTTTAGGAGTCAAGTATCGAGTATTTTCGATAAAATGATTCAAAATAAAAAAGATAAATAAATGTATGAACAAAGTCGAAACGATTCAGTATCTAATTATATATATACATAAAAAATATTTCTAATTTATTTATACGATATAATTTTTCAATAAAGCAATTTCGTCTCAACTCCGATTCCGAGGTGGGGGTGGGAGAGGAAATGGTAAGGAATTTGTGGATGTTTAGGAAAGTCCACATAGAGACTAAGAAAAGTCCATAATATCAGACTATACACAGCCGTAATTCTCTTCTTTCTTTTTATGGTTCCAACCTTATATATTTTATTTCTATATATATGTGTGTGCGCACTCCAATTAAGTTTGGCCAATCCATTTTATATTTTTTTTGGTGATGAGATATTTCTCAAAAATGAAACAAAAGTGTTGTAAAAGAATAGGTGTTAGACAATACAAGAAATCATCAATACCTAGACTTAGATGGACACCACAACTTCATGAACTTTTCATTGAAGCTGTTCAACTTCTTGGAGGAGGACATAGTAAGTGTATCAATTCTAAAAGAAATTGTATACTTTTTTTTGTTTATTTCTTGATCTATATATAAATATATATTTCTTTCTAATTTTGATGTTTTTTTTTGGCTATATATATATATAGAAAGAGTTTTAATAAAGGTCATGATCAAGAATTAGGGTATGATTAGTAGTTAATAATGATGATCTATCTATTTAGTAAGAAATTAAGGAGTAATTTTTTTTAAAAATTATTTAATATGATAGAAGCAACTCCAAAGAGAATTCAACAAATGATGGCAGTAAAGGGATTGAAGATTTCTCATGTTAAAAGCCATCTCCAGGTAATTCATAGCTTTATGTTGTTTCGATTCTTAAAAAGATATATTGAGGGTACTTAAAAGTGCATGTCGAATTCTTCAAAAGTGATGTTACTATTAGAAATAGAGGGTTTTCCTATGCGAATCTATAAGAAATCTACGTTATGAAACATGTTATTTCATCTATTTTCAAACGAACCAGCTTAATTACTGGAAAAATACATGGTGGGAAATAGATTTTTACAAAAGTACTCTGAAGTTTTTAATTGTTCTATGTGAAAATTATTGTCATTTTTTTCTCACTGATTGAATCAAAATATCTTTGAAAATAACCATTGAACATATTTGAGTAAAAAAATAATGATTCTTTATTAGAGTGTGCTTTTGATATTGCTGATGTAAATATAAAAACATTTTTGAAAAATCGAAACAATAAACAGAATACGTTCATTATTATTCTTTCATGTTTTGCATTGCAATATCTATATACTATATCATTATCAAATTTGAAATTTGTTAATTAAAATGGAAATTCCTATTCCTTTTCTTGAAATTAAAGGTTTCAAGAACAGAAATATAATCATGATGTTTTCGAAATGAGAAATAAAGTAAAGGAAGGAATATTGAAGCACGTTTATATTATGTTTTATGTCGACACTTGCAATTTGAATTTTTTTTAATAACAAGAAATTTGACATACCTTATTAATTTTGCAAAGCATAAAAGAGAAGATTAAATAACTTGATTTAAACTTAAGAATTCATATTTTTGAGTGAAAAATAGTAAGCATGTACACACAGTTTTAATTTAATTTCCTGGAATGTAACAACCTAATTGGTAATTTTATTTCAGATAAGAGTCATATACTTTTTTTGTTTGTGTGTGTGTTTGTTTTGTTTTTGTTTTTCAATTATATACTTTTTAAAGAAGAAACAAGAATATTTGTTTCTATCTTGATTCTTCTCTCTCAATTCTCCCAATAATTAGAAGGCATTAAAACGTCAGTGATACATATTTTTCGAATTAGGATGATTTGAACTTAATTTCCAATATGAAAGGGTTTTTCAATTATTTTGAAATGTTTGATTATTAAAAAGAGTCTGACATTGATCTCTTTGTGAATATTTGAAGAATTTGTGAAATATTTGAGACAATTATTATAGACTTCTAGTTTAGCACATGATGTTTAATATTAGATAATAGGTTAGGTTAGGTATATATGAAGCCCTACGATTATTTAAAGTAATAAAAAACCTTTAAAAGTTTGAAATCCAGTCTACTAATGAGCTGTTCCATTCTAAGCCATGCATAATTTCCTTATTTTTTTTAAAAAAAAACTTTTTTTTTAAATTTCTGTTAATTAATTAATTAATTGTTTGATGTATAATTGGAAATCAGATGTATAGAAACTTGAAGGAGAGAGGCAACCTCAATATGGTTAGGTCTGTGAACAACTTCCATGAAGAGACACCACAATTCTCATGGTCTTCACCACAGTAAGTCTCTAAATATATATATCTTCACAAACTTAATCATAAATCTCATGTTAGAGTCTTTTAGAATAAAAATATTCTCATAAGAATTGGAGTCATCACATGGAGAGAACGAATTAAATCAAGTCAACGAGTATCAAATACTGTACGTAGAGTTGTTAATGTGGGCTAGACCACTCCATACGGTTTAATTCATACAGACTTTGACATTTTAGGGACCAAGATGGGCTAGCCTATTTTTGGTTCGGGCCAGAAAACAGTGGGTCTAACCCACAAGTACGTGGGCTACAGGTTTGTCGGGTCAGCCCATTTTTTAAAAGATTATATATTTTTAATAATTATTAAATTAAATTATAAAATATAATAATATTATCATAAATATCGACAAAACAATATTACATGATGTTAATGTTACTATTTTTTAATCAAATTCACAAGTAAAATTATCTTTATAATATTTCTTTTTTTTCAAGTAAAAATATAAATATCTAAATAGAAATATTAAACCTAATTATTTTAAGTTTGGACTCTCTTTAATTTTTAATTTTAATATTATACTATATTTTTTAATTAATTTTTATCGGCCCACGGGCCGGCACTACCGACATTTCTCAAGCCCCACAAATTAGCAGACGTATTCAGGCTGGCTTTAAAAGAAAATTTCTTAGATGAACTTCAAAAATCTTAGCCCAACCCTATTAAATTCTGGGTTAGGCAGGCTGACCTAACGGACCTTACCCATATTGACGACTCTAACTGCACGAGTGGAAAAAAAAGATTTACGTGTATATATATATTCTCTTCTCTTGTGCTTTTTATTATAATTATCATATTATAATATCCACAAATTTCAAGTTTAAGCCTTTAGAATATTAAAATTATTTTCATAGGGATTGGATCAATTCTTCCCCTTTGAATACATGCATATATGGTTAGAATTAAAACTAAATAGAATCTTTATATGAGTATCAAATATTGTACGAATAAAAATACAAATAGAAAAAAAGACTTGTACATATATTTTCTTCTCTTGCTCATTGCTCTTTATTATAATTATTTTTTTTATCTCAATTCATGTAAAGGAGTTTAGAGTAAATATAAAGAATTAATCATACGATTTTTTATATAAATTCAGACATATTGATTTTAAAATGAAATTTACATATCTAAAAACTACTTGAGATATACCATCATAAGTTAGATATATAAATCATAATTCAAAATTAAATATTTTAAAAGATTGAAAAAAACAGCACATTAAGAGCCTGTTTGGCCAGCTTAAAAGCTTGTCAAACTGACTTAAAAGCTGGTTTTTGACTTATTTAACTGTTTGGCAATACTCAAAATAGCTTATTTTAAGTTAAAAAAACTTATTTTAAGCCAAAAGTTAAAAGCTGGGGTAGGGATGTTTTTTTTTTAGCTTATAAGCTATTTTAAGTTGACCACATTTTTATGTTTTTTCCCTTAATTTTTTTATACAATCTCCAAATTACCCATATAACCCTAACATCTCTTTCTTGTATTTTTTCCTTTTCACGTTTGGCATAACAACTTCAGCACTTTTATCCAAACGCATAACTACTTATTTTAAAAATAAGTTTCAGCACTTTTAAAAGTACTTTTTTAAAGCTGCTTTTATTAAACTCATCCAAACGGGCCCTAAGGGTGCTGAGTATATTCAGATTAATCATTTTTTAAAAATCATTATTGTTTCCTTTCCTCTTATTTTTTGCCAAATTTATGGATTTAAATTCCATTTATTTGACTGCAGAAGGAAAGACCTAGATGATAAATACATTCATTAATTATTGCATTATTAGCTTTACCAAAACACTATGACTTTTGGTTATGAATAATAATAATATTCCATGTAGTGTTCACTGACTCAGCTAAACTACAATTAATCAACTCTAATGTAAATATTTCCATAGACTTTGAGATGATACTTCTACCTAATTGTCACCTTTTTTTAATAAAAGAAATTAATGAAGAAGAAAAGACAAATATTTGATTTCTATAGTCAAATGTCTATTTAAATTCAAATATATGCTAGAAAGTTTAATCGTTAAAAGCAAAACACTTTTCAAAAAGGTGACTCAATCATATTGTTGGTATTTGTAAAATTAAGTCTTAGGCCTAACTCACATCTCAAAAGTCAACTCAAAGGGAGGAGGATTGCCCAAGCCTTGTAAGGAGTCCACCCATCACATTAACCACCGATGTGAGACTTTTGTCATTTTTTGACAGTATTATTTTAATTTTTTTTATTATACTTTTGCAGGCATGTGTGTGAAGCATTATTAGAACATGGTCCTTCAAAAAGCAGCAAACAAATAGACCCTGGAAGTGATAAATTGCCCAATTATAAAGCAATAATCAATGCATATATTGCTGAAAATAATATTTATTGCTATGACTACCAGGTTTGATGATTTTCCTTAATTTCTAATTATTTGTTACCTCAAATTAAGATACTTAATGTGAAGACAACTGAGGTTACATTCCTAATAGACTAAACTATTAACTGAACGCATTTTTGTTCAATTTCTCATAGTTCATAAACACTTTTTTACTTTTATACTTTTCCATTTTATAAATACTATAAATTTAATACTAAAATTATTTCAAAAGTTAAATTCATAGAACTTAAATCTCGAACCGAAATAGTATATTAAACTTCATATTAGTTTTATTTGTGTGTGTGTGTGAATTTAGGAAGCACAAGGAAGTTTAAGTAGTGGAATGACAAAAGAAGAAGAAGATGATGATGGTGGTGGTGGTGGTGGTCCGAGTAGTGAAATTTATGAGTTTTCACATGAAAGGGAGATCAATTTTTGGCCATTGAATGATTATAATCATCAAAATTCTCAATATGATTCCTCCAAAAAGCAAGTCTTGAATTCTACGAAGGACAATTCTCACATCAATCTAGATTTATCTATTTCTTCATATTTTTAGTATTAAAATAAAATTACGATCGTCTGATTGGTGAGATAAAGATAATAATAAATGTTATTTAGTCATAAGAATATCTTATCGATTTTATCTCACCAATCAAACGATTGGTAAGTAATATAGAATAGACCTCTAGCTAGCTAATCTTGTATTTTATATATATATATATATATATATACATTAATGTAAGATATGAATAACGTTGTCATTTGTATGTACGCGCCCAGTAATTTTTGTATGAATCTTGAACAAAGAAATTCTACTCGATTAATTATTTAATTCTTACTATTTGATAATTAAAAGGTGTATCATTTCATTTTTTTTTAGATTTTTTATTGAGTCCTTTAAAAGAGACGTTTATTCTTGAGCTCTACATATTAAAAGGGGCCTTTCCTAAAAATATAGATTACTTATTTACGAGTGAACTATAACTTCGTCATGTACCTCAAAAGTCAAAATACATAGCAAATTTTTTAATGCTAATTCGCTCACAAAAACTACAATTCTTTTTATTAGCTTCTCATATAAAATTATATTAGTATGATGAAAATTGAAATCATGAACTTCTTCAATAATAAGAGTACCAAAAAAAAGAGAATTAAGTGGTAGTTTGTGTCAAATACAATTCAAAGTGAAAAAAAAATTAATTTTCTAAATGACCATTGTTTCAAATCGCATGGCACAAAAATATAGTTTATGTAAAAAACTTAGTTATAAGAAGATTTATTGTCTCCATCGATCTCAATAATCTTTTACTATCGATATAAGTAAATAAATAGTAAAATTCACTCTATGAAAAAAAATTCCATCCCATCTCCACAATATACACCTAAAAACTAGATATGATACAACTTTACATGTAAAGCGAATAAAACAATTATGGATTAAACTCTTTTCAATTTTTTATTTTTTTTTTACCTTTAAGTGAACTAATAAGTTAAAAGTTCATCAATATGTCACATTTCACTCATAAATAAGCGAAATGTCCATTTTAAATTAGCGAAGGATACTTTTTGATATATAATACTCAAAAAGTGTTTGTTTTGGAGCCAAACGCGCGATTTTCATCTATATATTATCTATTGACCATTTCATTTCTTGTTGAGAACAGCAAAGTCAATTGTTGATGTATTCAATTTTTATGTACACAATGAGAACAGTTGAGGTATTTGAATATGTGATAGGACCAAACTTCAGTTCCTCTTTGCCAAAGTCTTGTTAAGTCCTTTCACAATCTTCCAGAACCAAATCAAGTTCATCACAGCAAGTACCAATGGCACAACACATACCAAGAAAATCCCAAATGAAGATACCTCCTTAACCTGTTTTCAGTCCATAACACAAACAAAGCACACAATTAATCAATTTTCTTGATGGGAGACAGTTGCTCAGATGGTAAGCACCCCTCACTTTCAACTCAAAGGTTGTGAGTTCGAGTTACCAAGAAAGCAAAAAGGGTGAAAGGTACTAAGCTCGAGGGGTAATAAAGAAGTCCATTTTCTTGAGAAAGTTCGCGTTTTCTTTTCAGCAGAGTTTTATCGTTTATTATTTAGAATATTACCTGATCGTAGTGGATGTAGAAGTGGTAGAACACGTAAATGAATAAAAAAATTCTGGCAACCTGCAAACACCATCTATGATTTAGCAATTCATCAAGAAACAGAACAGAAACTTGATAAGAAGTCTACTCGATCGGTCATCACAGCAGAAATATAGGTGATATAGAAAATACTTTACATACCAGCCAAACAAGCACCATCATGAAACCATTTATGAGGTATGCTTTCGACTTTTTCAATCCAGCTACATCAAGATACCTATAAAGAAACAAAGGATTGGTCAAGAAAATGGAACGTGGAAAGATAAACTCGTAAAGAAGCAAGGGTGTGGTTTGATATTTCTATTGGTACCATCTCAAGTTGATTCCCGGGGTAGTTGCCTCAGAAAGTAAAACCAGGAACACATAAAACTGAGCCTCACCAGTCAACATAGCATATGACAGTGCCACCAAAGAGAGAAGGTGATGAACCAGCTGCACAAGAAAGAAGCATATGTCAATCACCAAACCAAGTCTAAATAAAATTGAAGGAAAACGACAAGCACTTACATATTCCGTTCCACCTAAAGAAGGATAAAACCAAAGGATCATAGCAAGATCAGTGAGAAAATATCCCAAAGAAACCTATGAAGAAGACATTAAAACTTATTATAAAAGAAAAAAGGTGTTGGTAGATAACACATAAATGGAGATGAAAATAAATTTAGTTAACAAGGAATTATATATATATTTTACAAGCTTTCAGAACATATAAAAATGAAGAAAGATACAGCATTACATTTGAGATTAACATTCTCTGATGAATTGCATCTTTGAGACAATCTACGGCATCAGCTTTACACCTCACCAAAATGTTCCAGCTGAAGCTATTACGTTTCTCAAACAGGTCAGGTACAGAGAAACTGCTATGGCCCCGTCTAATATATTTTGGCAACTCACACTCATATGAATCCCACTCATAACCAGAATACATAGATGATACAGACTCAGTTTGGTAAGATTTCAGTCCAATAAAGACGTCATAGCAGCTACAGTTATTCATTAATAAAAGATTATGCATGTATACTGGTCCTTGGAGTATGCATAATAACTTTCCACAATTTGAACTTCTGAAATAAATGATTTTCTACTTTTGTTAATTCTTCAACCAACTAACTTGTCTTTTCTTTGTATGTGAAATCACTGACGGGAAAAACAAGTAACACGCTGATCTAAACCATGAGTTCTGGGTGATTTTGATGTGACATAATATACAAAGATTGGGCAAAGTTATCAATGGTGCAATGTGACAATGCAAAATAAAAAAATTGACCAGAAAATAAACAAAAACATGATGAAGAATTACTTTCACTGGCTTGAAAGCCTTTTGGAGATAAGTAATTAGATGAGGAGGACAAACAAAGGGAGACCATGAAAGGATCCCCATCCGTACAGTTCATTTTAAAATGCTAGGTTCTCCCTATCCTATTAGAAGATGATCCGTGCCCATCGTCTCTGGTGTTAGATCAGAAAGGTGAACACACAATAAAAAAGGAGCTTTGTCCTGAAGTAGATACAAAGCAGCCAATTTACCTCTTTAAACCTTTGGCAACCTACTTGTCAAGAAATCCATACAAGTGGGAATTGAACCAACTATGAAAACCGCAAATAATGCGTGCTTTAGAAAGTAACCTCACTAGAACTGTTAGAAATTTCAGCAATGTAGCAGATTACCCTACATTGTAGTATGATTCTCACTTCGGGTGTGAGAGGTCCCGACTTCATTTCTTGGAATGCACCCCACCCCCCACCCCCACCCCCAAACTAAAATATATCACTTTGAGCGGTGGGTATTCTGGAAACAACCTCTCCACCTCCATGAGGTAAGAATTAATGTCTATGTACACTCTACCCCGAGACTCACTTGAGGGATGTCACCAGGTATATTGTTGTAGCAGAAGTATGGATGGATAACTTAAACTAAGATCACAGCTCAGTGAAGCTCAAAAAGGCCTAACAACCAAAGTTAAATACACGAATGTAACGAAGTTGAACCCAACTTTTGAAATTATAGATTCCCTATTTCTGCCAACAAATATAATACCAGTAAGTCGCCATTATTACAGCTCCCTTATTGTCTACGCGACCAATAGTGACAGGTATACAAGAACATGAGTAGATAATAAAGCACTCACCCCCAAGATAGAGGTTGATAAAGTGGAACTCCGCATAATGACAAGGCCAGACAGCTGATCATCAGAGAAAAGATCTGACCAGAATGCCAAGTACAGTGACATGGCTGTAATGAATATTGCATGAACTGTAGATATGGACCTACACCATAAGTGAAGCTTTATATTTACTTGACCATGACAAAGAATAGTAAAAATGAGGAGAAAAGCATGAGTAATTACCGGTTATTCCATTCAACTTGTTGGAATTTTGAGAGCCCAGCATAGCGCTTAAAGTAAATAGAGGTGAATATCTGGCTAAGATCATATACCTGAAACATATAGATATTTAAGAAATATCTAGTTATACAAAACGGTAAAGTATACATATCTTCAAGAGGATTGAGCACAGTAGTGGTGTTTCCTTTATGGACATACTAATTTCACTTTTAGAATTTGACTCTATGTTGGTAGCCAATATGGTGACAAAAGAAAACACTTCAAACCTGAAGCTTAAGCAAATTCTGGGAAACATCATCAACTACAAGAAGAGGGCTGGAATACAAATGAATCACTGCTACAGAGAAGAAACCAAGTAGCAGATTTTCTTACTGAGCTAACTTCAAGCAATGATCAAATTTTGATGTTCAAACCTCCCAACACCTTCCAGGAGAGGCTAAGGATCTGTTTAAGCTAAGACAAGTTCCTGATGCCTATTATTAGGACTAGATTTAAAGCTGAGTTTGTTGTACAAAGAGAGGACACCAGAAGGTAGGTATATTGTTATGCCTTCTGGTTTTGGGTGATGGAATCACCAAGTAGCTTCTAAGCTGTGTTGTATTGAGGTCCCTATTGCTATACAACACCACTCAGACATTGTCTGGGTAATTGAACAAGAAAAAAGATTGAGCACAATAAACATGATTATACATTGAAATCAAGCACAGAAATGCAAAATACTACTCCATTAGAATAATTGAATAAAGATTTGATGACGGCCCTCATCTTGAAAAATTTTCACTGTAGTAAGGAAATAGTCATACCAGCTTGCAGGCGAAAACACCACCAATAACAGAAGAGTAGACAATGAAAGAATCTGATAGCATGTAGCTTCGAAGAAGCAGCTCAGCGCGAGTTTGATAACTGTTGATTTCCATAATAGTTGTTGTACTCAATATAAACTTACTTCAAATCTTTTCTGTACTTTATTTCTCCTGAAAATAATGAATGAAAGGATTAAACATAAACCATATCAATCTCATAAATATTCTAGATATCAGCTTCAAGTGTAAAAACAAAGATTGTATGTGGCAACATGGCATGACATAGGTGGTCACATGACAACCACTCTCACGAAGACACCATAAGCAGTTTTAACTTATACTTAGATACTTCTCTATCTTTTACTAGGAACTCAAAAAATTGCATGAGTTTAAACCCGATGTAGATGCTATACCATATTTCTACTGTAAATGTTCAGGGCTTTCGAATGTATTAGAGATTTTG